ATCAGAATTCAATTTTAAGTTATTACACAACTTATTACCAAATAGGTATAATTTATTTAAATGGAAATTGTGTAACAATCCCTTATGTTTATATGATGATCAGTTACACGACAATCTCCATTTATTTGTAAAGTGCAAGCACACAAGATTGTTTTGGTTAAAATTTGGAGACATAATTCGAAAACTTTACAATGTTAATTTTTCTTTTGACAAGTTCGTTTTAATTGAAGGTTATAAATTGAAAAACAAAATATTTAAAAGTTTAAATTTTCTTATCATATATGCAAAATACGCAGTTTATTTAACATTTATGCAAGCAGAAAATCGCAAACTCATGTTTCATGAAGTCTCTATTCTTTGTATTTTCAAAAGACTAATCCACAATCGATTAAAGATCGAAAGGAACTGTAAAACAAAAAAGATATGCATTTTTGAAAACACTGTTATTCAAGAAAACGAAACATGTTTTATTTGAACTATGCTAAGATGCTACGATGTTATTTCAATTGATTGTGTATGATTGTTTGTTTTGTTCAAATGCATATATTTATCAATAAATTCATTTTACAAAAAAAAAAAAAAAAAAAGAGCAATGTGTTTTCCTGTGTACAATCATTTAAAGGCATAGACCAGTTTTGGAAACGCGCCCCTCTCGAGAAATGAAACGGAAGCTCTTATTACCAATCATGTGAAAGAATATGTTTTGACTAATACGTGATGATACACATTTTGTTGGGAAACCGCCTAGTAATTGATATATTCTTCGGTAAATTATCATATCGATCCGGCCTGGATAGATATCGCGAATGCAATTCAACATTAAACATTTGGGCATATATTTCTGCTTTTTGCGAATTTAGGTTGAAGTATTGCCATCTAAACGTCTGAAGGTAATATCTAAACAGTATTGAATGGATATTTTGCACCTAAAACCCTTGAACCGCAATTTTATCACTACCGGTCTTTACCTTTAAATTAGTTGTGTCATAAGCGGCAATTCGAGTGCATCGTTTGTCAATATGTTAAGAAGCGTTTGATTTTCTTCCTCAAACAGATACAGGTAACTTTTTTTTAAATCCCATTTTTTATCACCAATTTAGTAATGTAACAAATCACTATGACGTAAAATATTAAACTATCGAAAATTCATGCAAGGCAGTTGTTTAAAAATGGCACACAAGCATAAAGAAGTCTTCTTAAACTTCCTCTTAACATTTTGTTGAGGGATCCTGGGTTCGAAACCAACTCTATGTGATAGTGTATCTGGATACAGCAGTCATCCTCATTACCAAATTCCTCGGAAAGGACTTAAAGCCATTGGTCCTCTGGGTAGCTTATAATTATATACAAGCACACACATGGTTTCTTAGCTGAAAGGTAACACATAAAACCATTGATAAAAGAGACGGTCAAGGTAACTATGGACACGTTCTGCTTACTTATTTATAATAAACCTACATGAATTATTATTAACATGTTAATACTATTGTAAACATGTTAATGTTATCATTAACATGTTAATAATATCAATATGTTAATATCATTAATTGACATTCCCTCATGAGTTAACGAATCAATTTTCTCTTTTTTTGTATTTATTTTTTTGGATTTTGATTTTTTTTTTTTTTTTGGATTTTTTTTTTGTTGGATTTTTTTGGATTTTTTTTTTTTTTTGGGGATTTTTTTATGTAAGTTGCGTTTTTCTATTTTTTTGGTTCTTTTTGTTGATTGTTTAACATCATATGTTTCAGGGCATAAGGTCCACGTTCTCCTAACCGCCATTTACTAATCAGTGTCCCCGCGTTTATAAACCAAATAAAACATAATCTAACTTAATTACGGTTACTGGTTAGAAAGAAACATTTCCATATATTCATATGGTTATGAGTTTACCTTGAAATACCGTTCATAATACGAGAAAATAAAAACTGAATATTTTCCGGAAAATGCGGGACAATTCTTTCAATGCAAAAACATATTTTCCATATTTTAAGAAAAAATATTGTAGGTTGCGTTTGATCTTACATACAATAACATATTCTGAAAATCCATATTCATGAGGTGTGAGTCACGTTACCGGATTTCTATTTCGATCTTCCGGGGAATTTCACGTCATTTGTGCGAACAATGGATTGATACAGCAGAGTGGTATTGTAATCGTGAAAAAACGTGGAAAATGTAGCGATAATCTTTGATGAGTCTTTGGAGGGTTCATTCAATCTATGTAGATGTTAAAACAGTAATTGTAGCTCCTTGAATGCTTATGCAAAACAATGTTGTTATTATAGTAGGAATCGTAGCAGTATTATTATTAGTATTAGAAGTAGTAGTGGTAGTACATGCAGTAGTATAGTAGTAGTAGTAGTAGTAGTAGTAGTAGTAGTAGTAGTAGAAGAAGCAATAATAGTAGTACATGTAGTAGAAGTAGTAGTAGTAGTAAATAGTAGTAGTAGTAGTAGTAGTAGTAGTAGTAGAAGTAGTAGTAGCAGTAGTTATAGTAGTAGTAATAGTAGTAGTAGTAGTAGTAGTAGTAGTAGTAGTAGTAGTAGTAGTAGCAGCGGCAGCAGTAGTAGCAGTAAGAGTAGCGGTGGTTGTTGTGGTGGGGGTGGTGGTGGTGGTGGTGGTGGTTGTTGTGGTGATGGTGATGTTAGTGGTGGTACATGTGGTGGTGATGGTGGTAGTGGTAGTGATAGACCGGCGGTAGTAATGGACTAACAGTGGGGTGGAGGTGGAGGAGAAGGTTGTGGTGGTTGTTGTGATGATGGTGGTAGTGATGGTAGTAGTGGTGTGGGTGTGGTTATTTCAGAGATACTGCGGGATCATACATTTCCGACATTTTGACATCACCGAGATTTGTCATGAATTTAAGTTCCTTCGCAATTCACGCCTAAATTGTGCCAATGTATTTATTCATCAACATTACATTATTTATAGCTCCGAACCTAGTAAGAAGAGATAGTTTACTCCCGGAGTTTAATCCCGGAGTTTACTTCATGGACGTCACCCTGAACTAGATTGCCTGTAATAGAAAAATATCTACCATAATTGGAAATTGGATTGAGTAGACACATCTTTATTACCGACTATCTATAATACCATAAAAGTTGAATTTCGTTGGTTCGTTGGTTCGAGCGTTTATTCATTTCATTTTCATAAAAAAACACAGCAAAAGTAAATAAACATACAAGTATAAATACATACATACGCAGAGAATGCTCAGTTTATACGAATAACTTCAAATGAAATAGGAGAACAAAGACAAAGCCGATATTTCCCTCGTTAAAAAATAGTTCCCCTGAATATCATAATTTACATTAGTGAGTATATATTAGTTAAAGATATCACAATAGACAGCGATAAACACAATATAAAGACAAACAATTACAAAAACATGTGTGAAATAATGTAAAATTGGAGGGGGTAAACAGGTTTGGAAGGTAAATTCAACGGCACTCAGAATACAAGGTCATCAGTTTCATTTGTTTTTTTTAAACATTGAACTGTTTTAAATAGGCGTACGACTTGAGGTAGAGTGTTCCATAATTGGCAAAATTCTCACAGATTTGTTAGAGAATGAACTCTTTACTTTCCATAAAATGAAACGTGTTGCTAATAATCACTACCCGTACAAATACGTAGAGTCTTCTTTTGTAATTTGAAGAGGGTATCAATTTGTCTATCACATGAATTATACTTTTTATTACCTTTTACCTTGATAATTATTTTTCCTACACTCTATTACAGGTTATCAAACGAGCATCAAGCACACAGATAAGATAAAGGAAAACAAACAATAATGTCAAACAAACTTTGTACCTGAGCATTATCCCTTTTAGGCTGTTATATACCATAAGCAAGGAACTTGTATTTAAATGTCAAATAGAGTATAAATCAATAATAATAATAATAAAGACTGTAATATTTTTGAAGCATTATAGCATGTTTAGTCTAAAAGTAAAATACATATTTATTGATGTTTAAACAAATTAATTAAACGGGTTTATTCAGAGTGGAAGGCGAGTGTGTCTTGATATACTTTTATATACTTCTACGATAAGTCAAGAGGTCCAACACTTTATCTATCAGATATGTATACATATAGCTTCTCCTTGACCCGTTATGAATGTATATACTAACTATCATGGATACCATACGGTTTTATGCCTTCTACGTTCTCATTGTACAGGTAAGTCTTAACGCATTGTACCGACTCATCATGCCTTTTGCACACAAGGCATCATACGGGGCTGCGTCAGGGCTTGGCGCAGCCTCTGACGCACCATCATAATAAAGGCTCGTTCAGATGAGACGCAGCAAAACCGAGGCGGTTTTTTATGATGACGCTTCACATTTCTGTATATTACATCACACAGAGCTCAGAGAGTACACGCAAGGTCTTTGTTGCCATTCATTTACAAGGTTAATTTTTAATTTGTTTGGGGTTGGGGGTTGGGGGGGGGGGGGGGTTGCGGCGGTTTACATTGCCAAAGATGAACAAGCCTTTAGAGAACAATGCAAATGTTACTGCCCTGAATGCCTTAACATGCTTAATTGGTGCAGGTAATGATGTAATCAAAATTTCCCTTCGTGTGCATCGGGCATAACTCTCTCAAAAGAGGGGTCTGTTTCTTCTTTTAATTACATGACCCGTGTGCAGGTGTTGTGCTTTGTACATTTATGTCGTAGAAGAGGCAGAGAGAGAGAGAGAGAGAGAGAGGGATAGGCAGACGTGCTAATAAAGAATTACAGATGGAGAGGAAAATTGGGAGGAGGGAGGACTGAGAATTCAATGGAAGACATGGAAAACGGAGAGCACTAAACTTCCGCATCTCTGTCTATATTACACATCAAAATGAGCCCCCCCCCCCCCCCCCCCGTACCTCCCTGTGATAAAACGGGATTTATCTGCTTCATTTTGCACTATTTTGACAATAAAACTGTGATTTTTTTTTGTGATTTTTTAAATAGTATTTTGGTATACAATTTTACTGATGTAATATAGCAGGCCTTGATCGGTTGTACCAGCGGCAATGGCTGCATCGGACTGAGTGCTGATGTGACTTGCCAGGTAAGATAAACAATAGTAGTCGTTGAGATGAAGGTAGGAAATGTCGGAAGTCTAAGATAAGGAATGTTCTTTTTAATGTCATTAATCCTGGTGATCATTTAATGTACATTGGTATCATACTGCTGCTGTTTTGTTCGGTTTAATTATATTCAAAGATGTTTTGCCAAATATATTTGATGCATAATTAAATCCCAAATAAACTCATATTTTATCAAGATTAGATTGAGGGTGATCATCAAAGGCCTAACATGCTTTTTGCATCCTGTACTAATTACAATAACATATCAATGCCGGCAAACCCAACTGGCGAATATTAGACGATAGATTTATATGAAAATAACGTTTACAAAAGTTTGTATCGACTCTCTCTTAATTATCTTTCTATTCATGTGGACATATACACGCCTAACCTTACAGGTTCAAATTTAAATCATTATTTTGTAATAAAAAACCTGACGTAGACGAATTATCTCATCAAAACAACAACCACAAAAAAGAAACAAAACAACAATTTCAGATATGCTGGATAGAAAAAATTGACTCAACAAAACAAAGGCAAATTGTCTGAAACATTGCTGTACATTATTGTGTTCACATTTCATACATTTTCAAAGCCAACGCTTATTCTCACCCTCTATTGACCCCTCCCCCCTCTCTCTCTCTCTCTCCCCCTCCCCCCCCCCCCCCCCCCCTCTCTCTCTCTCTCTCTATCTCTCTTTTTTGTTGTTAGTGTGATGGATATGGACGGTGCATGAAAGGAACGCTCGAGATCGACCCCTGGTTACAATTTGCGCTTAAGACACAACGAGAAATTCAGGTTCGTGGAATGTTAAATTCATTGGTGGCTAAAGATAAAGATGTTGACGGTGATAATCACGATGGAGATGATGAGAGTGGTGATGATGATTGCAGATGGTGATGGTGATAATAATGATGATGTTGATGATGGTGACGGTGGTGGTGGGGATTGTGATGTTAATGATGGTGGTGGTGATGATGGTTGTGGACTTTGGATGTGGTGATGGTGATGATGGTGGTGTTACTTATGATAATAAATCGATTTGATAAAGGAATTATAGATAATTATATGACAAAGAAGAAGACCATAATCTATTACTTTAATTTTTTTAGACTGATTTTCTTGACTGATAATCGTGGCCATGATGATATTTATATTTCTGCAGAATTTGCTATTCTGCGTTCATTTTTGTATGATTGCATTGTTTATTTCTTGTTAACTTTTCAAACTCCTTAATCGGTAAAGTTTTCATGAATTCATTTTCAAAGAATGTTATTCTTTTCTCGATATCGACTAAGTATTTCATCGATCTGTGCTTATGATTTTTATTGTGCCATGAAGCTTCAGGAGGAACAGATATTTAGATCTTGTGTTATGTTAACCCCATGCACAGATGGACATCCCTGTTGATCAAATGCAAATATTTGATGTAAGTAATGATGATGCAGAAATCTGTCTATCATAAAAGTCGATATAACCATTTTATGTATCTATATTTCCATAATATTTATATCTATTGATAGCATTTTTAATAATGTGGTCAATGTGTCTGATGGTTTAGTTTACGTTTAAAGTAAATCAAATCAAAATCGACGAAATTCGTGAAATGAACTTTGTTATTGCATTGATTTTATGAATGAATAATAAATGACAATTAATAATTAAAATTAATTATACTAATATTGGATATTTTCTATAGTGCACATATCCACCACATAAAGGTGCTTAAGGCGATCCAGTATTACCCCTGCTTTGCTAGGCTACCGTTTTCGGCGCTCAAAGCATTCGAGGATTCCTTCCTACCCGTATACCATAACACATTGGTGTATTGTTGATAATGCGGTACATTTTTCTGATGGTTTATTCCATTATAAAGCAAGATAAATCAAACAAATCGACGAAATTAGTGATTTGAACTCAATTTTGTTAATTTTTTTTTCTTAAAAGATTCAATTCATTACACTTTTCGTAATTCATGGCGATGATGATGAATTTTTCATTTTTTAGAATAAAGTCTAGCATTGTTTTATTCTATCCAAACACAGGCACATAACGCATTCAATAATAGGGCATATGGACCCGTCTATGGAGGTAAACGTATTTATCTTTGAAACAAGATTTATTTTTTCCTTTGGATGAGCGTAATATGGGATACATTAAACGTCACAATTTGCTTAACATTTTATGTAATGATTAATGTCGAGATTTCATTTTGATTATTGAGTGGTATAATAAAACAAGTGAAGAATAGGAATGTTTTAAAAAAAAAAGTTATTCAACAGTGATATTAATGATTTAATTTCTTCTTCAGATTATATAGTTCATTCTACTTTTTTTAAAGCACCATCTTAGAATGTCAATACAGTATATCAACCTGATACGCTTTGTTAAAATCAATTAATCTTATCTTCTAGCAAATGATACATGTCAATGGCCGCCACCGTATGATAACGTCTGTTTGGGATTGGCCAATCATGAATTCAGTATCATCGACATGTTAAACATGGGAGTCAGAGCCGTTGCTATTGACAACTGGTGGTGTGATGATGCGGTGAGTAATTGAATAATCAAGGTCCTCTTTTATCAATTTTAAAGCTCGAACACACTATATAAATTATATGCAGCCAATTTCGGCTCCCTTTTTATTTAGTGTTTGTTGATTGATTGTTTTGGGGGTTTTGTTTTATGATTGTTTTGTTAATGGGAAGACAAATTAGCATAAGATACATAGATCATGTAGGTTAAAGAATCATAGTTGCTTTTTTATAAGATAGGGGCATGATGAAATATTAAACATGTCATAGGTTTTTGTATTACCCAATTATAACTGCAGCGTGAGTCAATGCATTAAACTTAAAGCGTCTTTTGACTTAAAGGTAATACAAAGTTTTGGTATGGGGTTATGGATTTGGTTCAAATGAACATATTGGAAGCATAAGCGATCCTACAATATTCAGTGATCGTTGTCGCGGTTGAAGTCTAGTCTAAAGTTATGGAATTGTAAATAATTAACTCTTTATGTTGTATAGCTCCTTCTCAAGGTCAAGATATTAATTAAGCTATAAAACAATGATTCTTGACTAAAATCGACCGAATAGCTATTCCCGTATAGAAATTATATATCACAACTACAAAGTCTGAGATTTTCATGTCCGCAGCTACCATTATACGGCGGTAGGCGCTATTTAAAAATTTATCAAAATTTACGGGGAGCATCGGTAAATTGTTATATTCAATTTTTCTCGAAAGCAGAATTGTTTAAGGGGCTAAATTTTCTAGCGCTTATAATGCATCCACAGGGGCATCCAAATATATCAAAATTGTAAAGAATTACTATCCACCAAATTTCAAAATTTCCCAAAACTTTGTATTACCTATATATACAGATCGTTTACTTTGCATGCCTTATAATCATACTCTCATCTTTTGTTTAATTTTTTTCTTTTTGCACACTAAAAGATGAGGGTCGCACATTTGGGAACACAGCTTGCCCTCGGATGTGGAAAGTTCAACGTACTCTTTGCTGACGTCATAGCAGACATTGGCCAATGGATGCACGAGCCAGGAAACGAAAATGAGTTCATCAGGATCACCTTGGATGTATGAAGCTACAAATTTTCCGTTGTCAAACTTCATATTTTCAACTGCATTTGTTTAATTGATAGCAATCAACAGGCACTGGGTGTACATTATTTTATAAGATACTATTTGAATAAATAAAAAAATAAACTCTTTTCTTTACAGGAAATGTAGTTGCCGGAGACCTAATTTTTTAAAGGAAGAATGAATCAATTTAAACAAATTTTAATTCGTCTTTACATTTAATGACAAAGTCATCAGCATTTTTCGTCAAGTGGGTATACGTTTATTCCTCTCAGTATTAAGCTTTGTAAACCACATGAATAAAATATGTACATGACTGTATTCATCATCATAATACAATTATCTAGTCACGCAGTGTCACTCTCTATTTTCTTTTCAAAATATTTGAATATCAAGGAAAAGTATGACCAGGGTCACGATGCTGAAGTGAATGGTCCACTGGAGCGTTATCTGGGTCATGATGAGATCTTAAGTCCTGCTGATCTAAGGGATACATACAGAGGGTTGTGGCCGACACTCAGAAGGATGAAAGAGGTGAGAGTTGGGCCCTGGTTTAAGCAGAACTATAAGGGATACAAAGGGCGTGGCCAACCGTAAAAGGGTAAAAGATGATGATTGGTCTTTGAAAAACAAGCATACAGAATAGTTTTTCCAAATTATGGGAGGATGGGAGAGGTTTCAGCTGATCTCGGTGACACAAAGGTCGGGGTGTGACCAACATTGATGCGGAAAGAGAGGTAGAATGAAGCTCATCCCACACTGAGAGGTGTGGTCATACTCCTAGGGTGTGGCCAATTATAAGGGGTGGTTAGAAAGCCAAGGGCTATAGGTAGTCTTTGAAAAGCTTTACATACGGAGGGTGTGGCCAACACTTAATATACGGAGGATAAGAGAGGTTTATGGTTTAAACTATACATAATAAGGAGGTGTTTCGGGAAGGGGGAGGTGAAAGAAAGAGGGGTAACGGTTATAGTTAACTTAAAAATAAACCATATACGTATTGAATGATTAAAGACGTGTACCAGTTATAACGGTTTAGCATTTCTTGTGGGTTCATCGATAAAAGACTTGAAAGAAAATGTAGATTACCGAGAGTCCTTTTTAGGACTCCTAAATCCTCCCTCTCTCTCACATGGTGCATCCGCAAGCCTACTGTCTACATCACCATGCACGCCGATAGTTACAAGCAGCATCTAATGTAGATCTGGTTATTAATATTTGGAATTTCTCTCCCAAGTTGTCTCTATATGCTTTTTTTTACTTTCATCCAGGATGGTAAGCGAGTTGTAGTGGTGAGTTCGGACGATACCTTACATCAAGGCAAATACATCCATGCTAAACGATGTGAAAGCTTCCCTTTCAATGAGGTGAGAATGATAACGAAATTGATGAATATTTCATAAAACTGTTTAGTTTGATAATGTAATTACAGTGACGGTATTCGCTTCAATGTTGAATATGTGCACGCATTAATCACTATTTGCCATGCTTCACCTATATAGGTCCGCTGACTACTGAGACCTTTTTATTTCAAAGTTAAAAATATGAGTTGTATATCAATAGAAACTTGCCAAGCTTCAAATGTGTTCTCATGCAATGCCGTTATAAAATACACATTTGAACAATGCCATTGAAAAATGCCATTTTGATAAATACAATTGCTTCAATTCCATGCAGTTCACAAATTACCCACTATGCGGGGGTAAAACAGATTCTAACTGCAGGAGATTTCGAGGAGACGCAACACATTACATGTAAGTAACCATGGTAACCGTCTTTTCAAAGAAATTAATGTGATACGCAATATCATCATCATTATAGTGTTGTTTTTATAGAATTTTAGTAAATTGACGATACGCATTATATTATTACTATATGTTGAACATTACGAACATTGATAATGATTTGGGGAAAAAACCCAGAAAGAGGGTAGTAGATTTTTTTTTTTTGGGGGGGGGGTTAGCGGACACTTTTTTTGGGGGGGGGGGAGGTAAGGTCACTTTACGTTAGCCGTGGGCATAATTTTTTTTTTTTTTTTTTTTTTTTTTAATTAAAAAAAAAAAAAAAAAAAAAAAAAAACACCAAAAGGGGGGGGGGGGGTTTAGTTTTTTTTAGGGGGGTTGAACCCCCAAACCCCCCCTCCCCCTGCGTACGCCCCTGCATGTAAACATCGAAGCCGCAATAATTATTATGAAAACTGAATTTTACCCATGTACTCAGATTTGATGTTATCTATGACGGACCTACAGCGAACGGTGCGATAACTGATCTGAGTGAGATGGTGAAATGTCGTATCAATCTTCCTGCTACAGATATGGTGACACCTCAACTCATGATGACTGGGGTCTATACGTGGGCCTATGGAGAACCATCAATACAGCTAGATGAAGATTCGTGTGTTATGCTAAAGTAAGCAGATACGGTTCAGGCAATAGTTCGAATTTCAAGTATTGAGTATAAAACGTGATTGAGATATAAAAGAGAAAGAGAGGTGAGAATTAAAGGTGCAGGAACAGAAACAAAATTATGTTGATAAAAAGAGAGAGGGAGAGGGGAGGAAAATTAAGACAATTTATTCTGCTGCAGGAAATAAAACGCACACTAAAACCTAGAAGCTGTCCTAAATGTAAAATGATGGATTAGGCATGCTACTACCCCAGGACACGTCTAGTCTTTTACCCTCTAAGACAGCTATCCCTACAACAATAGCTGCCGGACAACACTCCTGGACAACTATCCCTGACAACTACCCACGGCACCCAAATCCCATGGACATAGGCGCCGGAAGTGGGGGGGGCAGGGGGGGCAGTTGCCCCCCCAGTCAAAAAAGTGGGGGGGCAAAACGCATTTTTGCCCCCCCAAAACGCCCCCCCCCCCCCTCCAAAAAAAAAAAAAAAAAGCAGTAAAGGAATAAACATGGTTTGTATTTTTAACCCAAAAGAACATAACAATAATAAAAACCTGAATTAAAGCACATATACCATTCCATTCAAAGAAAAGGAAAGTTCACAGGAATTAAATTTTTATAAACATTGCGCATGCTACCTATACGGTTTATAATAGCGATACGCGCATATCGTGGACATATTGTGCGAGAATGGGAAAACGTGTCTGTTTTTTTGGTTTTGTTATAGGGGTGAGAAGACATGAGCCCCTGAACGCTGGCGTACTGATGGGGGGGGGGGGGGTATATCTATACGATACCAGTGATTTACACATGTTGCTATTATGACATGATTTTCCGGTATTTTTTCTCCATTTTTTTTAAAGTCATACCTTTTTATGCGTTTGTTGGAAAATAAGAAATTCCCAAATTACAGTCGGGCGAAAAATACGCTTATTTAGAAGCCTTTATGACATGGTCTGCAAAGTGGCTGGGATCGAGCCCCTCCCCCCTCACTTTTTGAAAAAGTATGTTAAAGAGAAAAAGAAAGAAAGACGGAGAGAAAAAATAAGTGACCTGCCAATGTCACAAATAAGGCATAAAAAATGCTCATCTGACCGTAATTAAATGCCTAAAACGCCAGAGCTTACGGGTGCTCCGCCCCCGGACCCCACCAAGGGCCCTAAGGCGGGCCCCTGGATGCTCATCTGACCGTAATTAAATACCTAAAACCCCTGAGCTTCCGGGGGCTCTGCCCCCTGGACCCCAGCAAGGGCTCTAAGGCGGGCCCCTGGATGCTCATCTGACCGTAATTAAATACCTAAAACCCCTGAGCTTCCGGGGGCTCTGCCCCCTGGACCCCACCAAGGGCCCTATAAGGCGGGCCCCTGGATGCTCATCTGACCATTATTAAATACCTAAAACCCCTGAGCTTCCGGGGGCTCTGCCCCCTGGACCCCACCAAGGGCCCTATAAGGCGGGCCCCTGGATGCTCATCTGACCATTATTCAATACCTAAAACCCCTGAGCTTCCGGGGGCCCTGCCCCTGGACCCCACCAAGTGCCCTAGGGCGGCCCCTGGTTGCTCATCTGACCGTAGTTAAATACCTAAAACCCCTGAGCTTCTGGGGGCTCTGCCCCCTGGACCCCACCAAGGGCCCTATAAGGCGGGCCCCTGGATGCTCATCTGACCATTATTAAATACCTAAAACCCCTGAGCTTCCGGGGGCTCTGCCCCCTGGACCCCACCAAGGGCCCTATAAGGCGGGCCCCTGGATGCTCATCTGACCATTATTCAATACCTAAAACCCCTGAGCTTCCGGGGGCCCTGCCCCCTGGACCCCACCAAGTGCCCTAGGGCGGCCCCTGGTTGCTCATCTGACCGTAGTCAAATATTAAAACCTCTGAGCTTCTGGGGGCTCCCCCCCCCCCCCCTCTGGAACACGTCAATGGCCTTAAAGAGGCCCCTGGATGCTCATCTAACCGTAATTAAATACCTAAAATCCCTGAGCTTCCGGGGGCTCAGCCCCTTGACACCCTGCCGAGGCTGGACCCCACGCCAATTTACGCTCTACCTGATCGTTAATACTTCACTTTGAAAAACGTTCCGCGGGACCTGCATGTAACGTGTAAGACTGGTGGTGATGCAGATTTTTCGTCTGCCCCCCCCCCCTTCCGAACGTTTTTTCTCATTACGTCACTGCCCTCGGAAGGTGAGCCCCCTGGAATGTTTGCCCCCCCAATCCCAAACTGCTTCCGGCGCGCCTGCCCATGGATGGTTGTCTGGTAAAATTACATTCACTAACATAAGGAGGGTGGATATAGGGGGGGGGGGGGGGGTAGCTGATTGAGAGTTGGTAAGTAACGCTTCAACGATTATATAGGAGTAGATGTTCTAAAGTAACAGTCTTTAATATAGGCTTTCCGATATGCTAAAGTGAGCAAAAGATAGGGAGCTTGATTTGTATTCACTCTTCACTTTAGATATATAGTAGAAGAAACAATTTTTCCACACTCTTCTTAACTCTCATAATAATAGCCACGCAGACTTTCGTTGGTATACGTCACCTGATTGCGACCAATCATTGAGCTACGCGTGTCAAAGTTCAACGGATCCGAATGACTGGTTGGTCAGCGAATCGACCGGTCCATATGACGTCACGCGAGACTTGTGTCCCATTGGCTACAAGTTCAGTCTACCTCACAATGGATTCAGACAACAGAAGGTTAGTGGTCGTCAAATCAGGTAATGAACTGTGGTGAATCCGGGATTCTTTGTACGGGATGGGTGCACAGACAAAAATAAAAATGCTGAAAAGGAGAAAAACAAAAGGTATACCTGTAATGGAATATTATCATGTAAGCGTTTTCTCACGTTTTATTAACGTGATAAAGGTTGCATTAGTGTGGCAGATAATTTGGCCTGGGGTACACGGTCATCACCCCCGATCCAGCACTGATGCTCAATCATTATGGATGCCTTATAATTAATTGTGTATTTCAAAAATTGATTAAAATTTATTAAACAAACATTTAATGTTTGTTTAATAAATTGAATACATCAAATAAAACATATCGTTATCAAAGCAGATTTACTTTGTGGAAACGAAACAGAGCTAGAAAGAAACTTTAGAATTCAAGAGGTTATTCATACTTAATATCAGCATTCGTATATCTTCCCTTCTAAATTAAAAGAAACCAGTTTATGGTATCTTACACACAAAGATCGTATCAATCAGTTTGATGTATTGATTACCTGACTTTTTTGTCAGCATAAAGGCAATATAAACGTGAAGTAGGACAAACGAACAACGAATGACATAGTCTCTCCGGGAAATGTATCTAAAATAATTATATTCACGTATACATTATGCAATAGAGGGCAGCATAAAAACGATCGCGAACCTGTCGGAAACCAAACGACATTGTAATTAAAACTTTGGATATGATTAATTTTAGTTGTATTAGATCCTTTTTTTCTTTTTCAGTAATTTTCGTCACTACTTTTGTTTGTAATTGTATGTATGTGTGTTTATTTTGCTGTTTGATCTTATAGTTGAAGGAGGCAATGAAAGGATCTTCTGTATGGCTAAACTTGACACCTTGGCTGACGGGTAACTTTCCCATAACAGATGCCCCTCTTACCAGCCCCTTGGGGAACTTTGCAAACTACCTCAGAACCTTTTACCCGGCTCTTCTAAGTTCTATTGCCTATTTTGTGTTTTAATGGATTAAACCGGTTAATTTTTGAATGGTGGATAAAGAATATTAGTGTTACTTAGCAATCACGTGTTAGATAAGAGTGCGTTTTTTTTAAACCGTACTTTTTGAAAACCTTATTTCATGCTGCGATTATTCCGTGCTCATTTGTTTCTTTACCATTAAAGATTATTACTTTCACTATCTTTATCCGATTATCAATATGTTACATTTACTATATGCGGCAAAGAAAATGGTTTAACATTTTGTACTTAAAGACACGGCTTATAAACTGTACCCTTTTTAAAATGAGATTATAATTTTTTGCACCCCTCTCTTATATTTCAATGTCATGGTATGCGCCATGCTTTTCTCGTCTTTTCATTCGATATACAGTGAAACCTGTCTATTGAGATCACCCAAAGGAATCAAAGAATGTGATCACTGTAGACAATGGTCTTTCTAGACAGGTTCTGCAACACACATTTCTTTCTTATGGGAGACAAGATAATTATATGCCCACTTTTATCAGTAGACAGTCGGTTTTTATAGAGAGGTTGCTGCTAGGTTTAACTATTTACTTGACTATATTCTGTAGATAATTAATGTTAATGCCAATAATAGTTATAAACCGAAATAACTAAAATAACATGTGACTCCAATTAATGATATTTTGTCTGGCCTAATGTGAAATATGTATTCAAGATAATGTAAACATGCTTAACTCAACCTTGGCTACGCTGCATTATATTTAATGTATATTGAGATTACCAATTTAAAATAGGCATACGAACATGACAATGTTAAGCAGTAATTTTTAAAAACTACCTGATATTTTTTAAAATACTATATGTTTTATAAATGTTTTTATGAAATGAGAATAATGGTGAAAGAGGAATTTATTAAAAATAAACTTCATGCGAAATAGAAATTGAATTCGATTGTATTTACTGAACTGATTGTGTTGCAGATGAAAGATTACGTGTATGCTTTAAAACCATATGATTAAGTTTCAAATTATATATGCAAATAATCAGTTATGAGTGGATAATGTCACAAAGATTGTAAAAGGATTCGCATTGCTTTTTAGGGAACAACCCGATTGCTCATAAGATTAATGAATATATCGCGGCCTCCCTTTTTTTCCTTCTCTTACTTTCTTACTTTTTCAGGCCAACCGCTATAATTCTATTTCTTCTCCAACCAAAATAGTATGGTCCATTATAATATTTATTTAAAAAAAGAGTACCATGGCTTATGTTGGAAAGGTAAGGGGTTATTCTCCTGACAAAATTATCTCTACCAAAAAAAGGGGTGGGGCAATAATCTTCAATTATGAAGGACTGACTTTGAGCATTTTTCTTAGGAATGTTCCGGGGAATGTTAAGTTCCTAACAACATCATATGAAACATGACTCCATCGGAATGACTTTTGGTACTAAATAGATATGACTGATAATCATGACATGATTATTAAATGAGAAGTATTATTCTAACAATATCTTTTTGAGTGTCCATTGTGAGTAACAAAACAAAATATAGAGAATATGAAATGTAAATTAACTTTTGCTTGCAGTGATAACTTTATCAAAATAGTCCTAAACTATTTTAGTTAATTCAAAAGAAATCAATAATATTATCATAAATCTTAATTTTACACGCACATACACACAAAAAAGTTTGCGTAGGCCTACATTTTGTTACCGGCGCGAACCTATATGATAAAAATGTTTCCTTGGTTCATTTTTGTCAAAATTGTGATATATTTTATATCAATGTATTGGGTCTATGTGACATGAATTTTGATAAGAGAAATAATAATCAAATGAAATAATTAAATCTTAACCAAGATATATAGTTGGTGTTAAATTGTAGGTGGAAATATCTTTTAATTTCGAAAGCTTTCCTACCCCCCCCCCCCATAAAAGAGCCTACATTCCCAACGTACACAAGGGCAAATTAAAAACAAACTCTTTGCTAACAACTTCTATGGGTCGCCCCTCCTAATACCCAGACTAGATAAAGTCATAAAAATGTTGTTATTATGTGGACTGGATACGCCATGCTCTATTAGCAGAGAGGGAGCTGGAGAGGATTGTCGCCATCTTTCGGTCAATGAATCAACAGGTTTCATATGAAAACTATTTGCTGTGTACATAATTAGAAACTAGCGGGCCAACGATGCTGGAAAGGCTCTCCTCATCAGTGATTTTTATGTCTATTTCTTGAGTTTCACGTGAAATTATTAGCCTAAATCCGTAAAATAGTGAATATGCAACATGCTGCTTCGGTAAACTTCATCTGAAAGGGGACTATTTATGTGTTTAACACTCGTGCTAACACGAAATCTCACCCGAGCTGCTTCCGGATTGTGCTTCATGTCGCTACCCGGCCCATCCCCCGTGGAATTTGCACGGTGGTAGACTGTGTACGTTCATCCCTGCATGCTGTGCTGCAAATAATTGAACAAACTGAGCGAGAGTAAACCATTGAGTTACATGCCAATATGGGGGAAATGGCTGCCAGTTTTCTACAATTTGGCGATATCGTATCGCTGTTTGCAGAAGGCAGTGTGAATGGATTCATTCACACCCTCGGGTAAGTTGTGATTTGTCTCATATTTTTACTTGAAATCTTTATGTTACTTTTTTTTGTTAGTTATATTTAGACTAGATCTAGGCCTATATACTTATTATAGATCTCTATACCGGTATTTATAAAGAGTCTAGATTTTCTAGGTAGATTTAGTCTGACAATGAATGACATTTTTCATGATCAGTGATACATAAACCTATAACAAACCAAGCCTAAGGTCAATCAAGACCCAACTGGAAATAAGCTCTTGAGCTTTCGTGGGTTATCCTGTTCAAGCTGACTTATTTTTGATCTGTTATTATTGTATATTGTTGTATGTTGGAAGCTTGTCGAATAAAAATCAATCGATCAATCAATCAAGATAAGGCTAACTATGACCAGGGGCCAAGCATGGAGGGGTAAATTTGCCATTTAGAGGTCATTCAATCGTCTGTAACGTACATAGATCTAGACCCCAATAATTTATATACATTCTGCCCAATTTAGAATGTGAGTAGGTTTGTTGATCTGCATAGGCAGTTTGTCATTTTCTTGTCCATTTTTTTTTCTTTCTACATGTAACTGCAGCATTCTTTTTGCCAATTTTTGGTAATACGTCTACTTAACTTTACTTTAATCCAGCGATGCTTGTAATAGATGCCTATTCATCGATTGTAGATGTTTTCAGTGGTCACACATTATTCTTGTCTTTTCAATCTTTGATCTTTTTTCCTTTTCCCCAACACTGTGCAATGGTCCAGTACTTTTATACTTCATTCACTTTTAGTGGGAAGTGTACAGTGTAAAAAAAAGTCTTCTCTATTAAAGTACTTGTGATTTTCATTGAGGTTTATCAAGAAAGAGGAGGAGGTCTTATATTTCCTTTGCGCTGTATCCATACATTTACTAAACAATTTCAAAATTGGATTGCCCTATACAGACTGTATTCAGTATGTTATGAACGTGAACTCAAATACACTTTTGAAAACTAATTTTCTAACCTCTGTACTGTGCTGCACAGTAATATGCTTTCAATCAGTGTAAACAGCAACATGTCCCCTTTTTTGAATTAAGTTTAAGATCAAACACAAGTCACAATGTAAAGTGTGTTTTATTTAGATTTTTTTGTAATTTGAAGTTTTGACTCATAGAAGGCCAATTTATATTGCAGAAAATGTTAGTAGTATGTTATGTTAGTAGTAAAGTATGTAAAGTGTGTTTTATTTAGATTTTTTTTTGTAATTTGAAGTTTTGACTCATAGAAGGCCAATTTAAATTGCAGAAAATGTGAGTAGTATGTTATGTTAGTAGTATAAATCCCCAGGTCACTACAGTAGAAAGTTAGCAACACGCGTAACATTGTAGCCCTCCTTTATCAGATCTAGAAACTCTTCAAGAAATTCCACGATGAGATACTACATTTACATACATGTATATGGCTAATTGGCTACATAATAATAAATGTGAGTGTATGATTTCCATTGCATAGTTTAAATAGCAAGTGAATTGGTCAAGTGTGAAGCCTTTAGTATATCACAAGTTTACACTACTATACTACCCTGGGGAAAATACAGTACCAGCAAGAGATAAATAGATAGTGTGCATGTAGATCACTTTGCTACACTTGCATGAACATTGAAACACAAACAAGGTCCACTTTGTATTGTGCAAATATAGCAGCTACATATGTATGAATGAGATAGAAAAAGGTTGTTTTTAGAAATGGTATTTGAAGTCATAAATGGTCTGATGTTGGAATGGTGTAGGCTTTAGAGTTCGAAATCTTTCATGTTTTATATATTTCTCACCTGTTTTTAAAAGATATTTTATAATAAATTATTTTTCTTTTGCATTTGGTTTTATTTAAGAGTCTAGGCCTGTAATTCTCACAATTGCGTTTCTTTTTCTTCTCTTTTTGTTTGGGAGGGGTTTTCTTTACATACATTTGAGCATCCTCGCCTTTATTTATTTTAAATTTAAAATTTTTCATTGTTAAAATCTTGCATATTTTTCAGAGATGACTTATATTAATCTACAGATAGGTTGGCATCACCCATAAGGTTTCTTAACCTGTTGTTACAAAGCCTATGATAACATTGGCACGAGTCAATGGAAAGAAAGTTCATGATGAAAATTAAAATTGAATCATATCCAACATATCGTCCCTATTTTCACGAAGTGACGGTAGTGAGGAAAATCGTCACGCAAAGTGAATGCGATTTTCATTCACTACCGTCACTTCGTGAAAATAGGGACGATATATTTCATATCTTGTTTTTGCCTGTATGCACATCTCCTCACATAGGCCTTACATGTATGTATACCTTTAAGAAGAACATCTCTAGAGGGTCTACCATAAGAGAGACATGGGGGAGTGTTTATGGCTGTTGCTAGGCAACAAGCTCAAAACTTCTTTACTCCAGCCTCTTACTGCGATACCCCCATGCGCTCCAAGCACTTCCCGTCTCAGGCACTTCAGAGCAGTGCGGCTATGATATGTGGTGAAAGAGAAGAGTTTTTTTTTAATGTAGTTTGAAATACTCTAGTCTGCCTCCAATGTGCCTGTGTTACTAATGATTAAAGGTGGTCTACTGGATGAGAATTTAAAGAAAAGGTTGTAAAAATGACATGTGCATGGAAAATATTAAAGCATTCTTTCAAATTGGGGGCTTTTTATTATAAAAGGATATTCCATTTCAAACACTTGTTCATTTAAAAAAAAAAAAAAATGGTACCAGTAGTCTTCTGAAGAACATCCATATTTCCAATAATAAGAATAAAAATGGATTGCAGAAGATTTTATGAAAAGGTTGCTCAGTATACGGAGTGCTCAGTGAACATTTCTAATGCTGGATACCAGATTCATTCACAAATTTCTTTGCTCATAATCTAAACGAAATATTAATATTGTGCAGTATGAGTACATCAAATAATTTTTTTTTTTTTTTTTTTTTTTTTTTTTTTTCCGGCAGCAAGCCAGGTCCGGGTTAAAAAAACCGATCGGGGAAGAACTGCGAGGTGCAGTTGAAGGTGCCGATTTGTGCTTGTGAACTTGTCACAAATAATAGTAACAATGTCGTTTTTAGAAGAATGTGTAAGATCATTAATGTAAATTAAAAACAGTAGAGGACCTACATGTAGGATAAAACCTTGTGGTACGCTTGTATAATAGAAGAAAAATTGGAGGAATTATTATAAACTACATTTTGAGATCTATTAAAAAGATTTTTTAAAACCAAGATGACAGATAAATTGGAGTGTTGTTCTAGTTTCCGAGTGGTGAGTCAACACACCGATTACTGAACTGGGAGACATTGCCAGGCATAGTGCCAGGTGGAGGGGGCATAAAGTGTGTATTATACACAGAGATTTACTGTACTTGTACAGTAGGTTAAAGCTGAAGACCAGTTATGGTCATGCAATTGCATTGTGAAAGAAACATTGTGAAATCAATCAGAAAAGGTTGATCATCTAGCATAGATGTACTGCAAGGTTCTGGAATCATCAAAATGATAAGAAATTTGGCCAAGTCTTCATAAAGTTAGAATCACTATACACAGAAAGATGTATATGGGACTACACACATGTGCGCGACACGTGCATTTGTATCTCTCAACAGGCGAGAGATTCACTAATTTACCAAATATATCAATTAGTAGGCGGTTTCCTGTCAACATTTTTATCATCATGTATTATTCAAAACATATTCTTTCACATGATTGGTAATAAGAGCTTGCATATCATTTTTTGAAATTGGGGCGTTTCCAATACTGGTCTTTAAAAATGTATTCTTTAGTATTTTTTTTTATGGTATTCTCCATCAATAGCAGCAGTAGGGCAGCATTTCTCAAAACCATTATACATGTAAGTGCAAATGTTTATTAAAATTAACAGGGGTTTCATGGGATGTCGGTGAAGTTGTACTTATGACAGTTAGATTCTTGACATGCCGCCCAGAAGTCAAAAACTTAATTTGTCCTTGTGTATCAGGAAATTGAAAGTAGAGACTGCATTCTAGATTTCTTATTGATTGTTTTTACCGACTTATGCATTGTGGTTTGAGTTTATTATGAAGTTTATTATGTCTGCAGTAACTAGACAACTTGATGACCTCCTCTCAGTGACCTCTGGGCATATGTTCCAGTCTGTGATTAATCTTTTGTTCTAGTCACAGATGACACAGAGCGCTTCCTGTAAATAGGAAATGTATAGATCGCAATACCTGGGTGGTGTTTCACAATGCCTTTTTTCAATGACAAATGAAAATAATCAGTGACAAATCTGCTGATAACAAATCAGAAGTGAGGATTTTAGTAGCTTATAACAGAAATTTTCATTTGTCACTGATGACAAGTTTTGTGAAACACCCCCCCCCCCCTGGTTGACATCCTGGGCAGGCAGTCTCATGTGTTCTACAACACATGCTCTGGAGCCTGGTGACCATTCCCCTCGACCCCTAGGGTCAGTTTCCTGCACAAATGAGTTCTTTTGTTCATCCTTGGAGTCTTGGGCAAGAACACTTCCTGATCCCATTGCTTAAACCCTACCCTAAGACCAAACTCAAAACTAAGATGCCTTTTCAATCACAATCCTAACCAAATTTCTTTGACAAAATGAAGCCTGACGCAATTACATGTAGTGCTGGATGGCCATCTTCATACCATTTCTATTGCTCCTGTGATATACCACTTCACAAGTCATCTATTTCAGTCCCAATTCCAAGGTTGTTTTCCCAATTTATCATTTTTTGGAGCTTCTTCTTCTGACACCAAAGTCTTAATTTCATCTTTTAGCTCTTCATCTTTCTGATTCTACTTTTTGTAATCTCAAGGAATTGACCTATTTGGAAAAAGGGGTTTAAAGGGATTTTCCTGTTTTTCATTTATTGCGCAATCACACTGTTGCAAGTAATTTAATTTAATACAGTTGATTGTATCTTCCTGTCGTTTGGTTAATATAAAAATGGAGCTAAACCTGTGGTGATGTGTCAGAACAGAAGATTAAGTTAGCATGTGCATGCATGAATCCCCTACTTGTAACTTTGCAGTGTTTCTGGCTCTGCTAAATCCATTTGCATACACTCATTTCTTGTGTGATGTCATTCTGAGGCTAGAAGCCGTCAGCATTACCATGGTAACTTAACTCCCCCATTCCCTGGGGTAAGTGTACATTTTCAAATCTCTTTTGTCTACCATTCATTTGTGGTGGTTTGTAGTGAACAGGAAGCTATTAGGCAATCGGTGAAAGCCTTCAAGTACGTTCAATTCTAGAGCTCGTTCACACCTCTAAGATCAGACGATTTTGTTTTGAATTTCATCATTTTATATCTCTGTATGAGGTGTGCCATTGGTTCATTAAACTCTGAGTCCTCCCCCCTTCCTCATCCCTCGCGCCTGAGCGCCCCCTTCCCACAAAATAAAAAAAATGTTCATTTTCACCTGTGAGATAAATATATCAGAAATATAAAAGATAAGATAGAGACACTCAAGGTAGACAAGAAAGGTCGTCTTTATAGGCAGCAGGTCATTATAAAACAAATTCCTGTTGTACATGTTTCAATGAGAAGTAGTTTTCAAGGGAAATGAAAAATGCGGTCTTTGTAGATGGTTGGTCTTTTTGTACAGGTGGCCACTAAAACGCAGATTTGACTGTATTGAGGGGTCAGGTTTGCCATTGGTCCATCCTGTGGTGTGCTGAAAGAATATATATTTTTTGAATGAAGGTGTGAATGGTCCATGCAGTGATAGCATACCAGGAGAATTGCTTTGCATCAAGGTGAAGATGGTATAAGCCGTCACCATTTCCATGGCAACCTAAATACCATGTTGCCCTCAAGTGATAATTTAAAATCTTCTATGTCTGCGAATCATTTATGGTTCATTTTGAAGATGATAATTATAAACCCTCTTGCTAATTTTTTTCATGAGCAAGTTTCCTAATTGGACTTGATTGTAACTGGACTACCTTATTTTTCTGTTAAATCTTAGTTCCCTTATGTCAGAAGAAGTATTAATCATTGTCTTGTCGCAAGTGATATTTTCAAATATCTTTGTCTTCTATTAATTTATTCATTTATGGAAGTTTCATGCAGCAAAAGAATTGATTTAAAATTTACACAACATTAAAGTTTGCAGTTCTTTAACATTTCTTGTGAAAATGGCTGTCCATAACAGTTTCATGTCCTGGAAGTAAAACAAAATGCCACTTGGTCTGAGCACTACAGTGGTTGGTCCAAGAATAATACGCTAGATCTCAGAGAATTGTTATGCAAACATATACATGTAGGTGTACCCGGTAATAAGAACATTCTTCTTTGTCAATAGGCAGTGTACCATCGTGAAATTCATGTTTTTATTGAATTTTGATCTATGGAAACAAAAGTAATAATAGACAGAAAGAAGAAAAGGCCCTAGACAGGATTGATGTGTGATGTACATGTAGGCATTGAAAGCTAGTGAATGCTTGAAAGGAGCTCTGGAAAATAGTGGGGGAGATAATTTTTTAAAGATTTTTCCACAAGGAATATCATTGTGACAACAATAAATTTAACTGTCAAACATCTGCAAAAAAAGTTACATTGCAATTAAGGCCTAATCCATATTTCATACCTTTGTAAATTAATGAATAAGAGAATACTACAATTTGTTGAGAGAAACAAATATACATTTCCATTTGAAAGAAGAGAGAGAGAGATGGAGAGTGGGGGCAGGGAGTGTGCAAGCTAGTAATTGTTGTAATCTTTGATTTCAATAGTATTTTTTTCTTTCCTTGTTTTTCTCTTCCGATGCATAGGTTGGTTGACGACAGGTGCGTTGTTCAGCCTGATGCTGGCGACCTTTCAAATCCCCCGAAAAAATTCAGAGGTAACTATAACTTACTCTTTTCTTGAATATATACATGTAAATTATTAATGGATTAGGATAATTCTAACAAATGATGCAAATGTCATTAATTTTTATATAATCTATGCATTTACTTCATTACATGTAGATCAGAATAGTTGCTTGTAGTGCACAATGTGATACAACTGTTGATAGAATATAAAATGTAATGTGAATGTCAATGAAAAGAACATATTACCTATCAGGTTTTTATATGATAAATATGAATAGCATACTATAGGCCTGCTATGCAAAATGTAAACAATAGCCTTGAGACCCATATGATGTTATACATTAGCGCTGGCTTTTTGAATGGGAGAATTCCTTGACCAAGTTTTATGGTATAATAAACTTAAAGTGAACATGTGTATCAGAGAAATTTGATCTCCTGTACATTCTGAGTGAATGAATATTCATAGGATGATTATATTAAACTATCATTTTCCTTTTCATTTGTCATCTATATACCCATCTCTGTCAATGCTTTTGAGAACCAGAGACTACTTGTAGTCGGTACATATACATGTACATGACATGACATCACTGATACAATGTCTACAATGTTTAATGGATTAACGAGATATATAGTCTGTTTGGAGCCAGATGGCGTTGACTCATATACTTTTACACAGAGATGACTCCCTTTTGGCTCCAAACAATGATATACTAACATGCAAAGTACATATACAGGATTACTTACAACACCTGTTCTATTGTAAGAAATAAGAAAGTTATGAATTTTTGAATTTTGCAATCAATCTAGCACAAATTGGACCTACTGTGACGTACATGTACATGTATTTTGCGAGGTTACCTCCCATTTGTCCTCTACTATTTTTTTCCTGAAATTTCTCCTTTCTCTGAAGAATTTTTTTTCAACCAGACATGACCCTAAGTATAATTATTGCAACTATGTTTCCATACAACCCTTGTATGAAACAAATAAATCTATTCCGTCACGAATAACTAAGAAAATGAAAGTTTATGAAATATCTGTATAGTGCAAATTGGAGAGGACCTCATAAGATACGTCATAGTGTTGCCAAGCCAAAATGTGATTCATTGTTGACAACATTTAAAATGTACAACTTTCTCAAATCTCTGACTCGTTCTCTCATTTTTATGTTTCTATTAAAAACCAACTTGATATCAGGGTGGACTTCCCCTTTAAGTAACATATAATCCAATGTAAATGTACACAATCTTGAAAGGGAGTCAGGTATTACTTAGCGCTTCTTATGAACAGAGTGCTTCCAAAAATATGATTTACGTCCTTCATGGGATGTACATGTAATTGAATAACTTGCATTAGATAACCACATTAGTGACATGTGCTAACAAAGTGAAATTGAATCTCCTTTTAAGAATTATGGCTGTGTTGTGAAATGAATCGCATTGGATCTGATGCATGGTACTATAGATGTAGGGAGAATGGACATGTAATGGAAGAGGCCGGAAGGAAAAAGAAAGATGGAAGAGGCATAAGGGATACTACATTTTGATACAATCATGAAAGGAGTTGAATGATTTATTAATTTACAATATATGTAAACCAAAAGAATTAAAAAATAATATATCCTTTAAGTCGAAATAGAAATGATCAACATAAATTGAGGGAAAATAGATACTCATTTGCAGCAACAAATTTATGATATGAACATTTTAGAGAAGAGAAATTAACACATTGGACATGTTGCATATTGACCTTGAGCGCAAATTATAGACTCTTGAATAAAAGACAGTGGAATCATATTAAAAACACAAACAAAATATTGTGATGTTGTTTTAATGCTGTGTATACCTAAATCATGTACATGTACCTCGGTCTTCATGATATAAATTCAGAAACATATCAAAAATTTTAACCCCTTGCTTACGGAAACCAGATGGAACCTGTATTACGCCTATGGGAGTGAGAGATTTGATTAGTCTAACGGTTAATTTCTTCTTCTGTCGTAGACTGCCTCTTTAAGATCTGTCCCATGAACCGTTACACTGCACAGAAACAGTTCTGGAAGTCGGCTAAACCAACCATCTCAAGTGCCACCGATGCTGTCTTACTCAAGAAACTACAGGTAGGTAACCATGACGTGTTTGGCATCACAGTAAAACCACTTTTTTTCATTCGCTAAGGTCTAGAAAGCCTCTTTTATTATTCCACTTGCTAAGTTTTAATGACAACAAAGACATATTTTTTCTGATATAATGACGTTTCCTTTTCCCTTTATGCAATATACATGCCTCCCTGCATTTATAATTATATGAATCCTCATTGATCAAATGTTATAACATTTCTTCACTGCTGGGAAATGGGTATCAAATCCCTCTCCCATCTTTGGATAACAGATGTCAACATTTCCTTGCCCCACTTTACAGGATTGAAATGATTTGAAGTGTAAGGGTTCTTGATATTATAACTCAATATGGGTCCAAACAATTACTAACCAGCTAAACATTAGTTTAGGATGGTAACTTCTGGTGTAACAGAACCTTTCAAAAGTATCGTTCTTGTTTAGATGGATTTCAACTTGGATACCTTCACATACATGTACCGGTATGTAACATTGTAAATGATATTATTGGTTATTTGTAATTTTTCTGAATTGAAAGTGTTTCTGCTTAGCCTGCATGACAATGCAGTGAATGCACAGTATTTATCTTGACTGACTTTTTGGGAAAAAATTACAAAAACAAACAATAATGATGTGGTAACGAATGCTTCAAGAACAAGTCCAATTTATTTTTTCTGAACTTTTCTTGAGCTATTCAGTTAAAAAAAAAATTATCTGTGAAGAAAATAAGTGTAGTTTAATAGAATAAGCTCAATTACACTTGATTAATGGTACATGTAGCTGTTCAATATGGATATGAATATGAATATGAATTACATTTCTTCCAATTCTTGATTAATGAACGTATATTGTTTGCAACAATATTCCATTGGTATAGGTACGCATAATTGCATATGATATAATTTGTCGTATTATGTTGGCTACAGGATAAAATATTTTGCCGTTCCTCCGACTCGTAACCTTGTGTACATTCATGTAAGTGTATGCAGAGTAAATGTATATACATTTTGTTTGCAATAGGCCTATACCATGATATCTACCTGCACATCTACAATGTAATTCAAAGCTCTGCGAACCCTGGATCATGTTACATGTAATGAAAACATACACTGTCCTCATAATGTGGTCGTTTTTATGAATATAATGAGACGTGTACCGCTTTGGTTGCTGTATTTGGTATACAAAATTCAGATAGTACTGTGATCAACCGTTTCTCTACCTGAATTCAAATACATTTTCAATACACATGGGTAGAAAAGTATATCAGTACTGTATTAACGGTGTATTAACCGCACCTTTTTGCCGCCGAAAAAAATTCAAAGTCGGGGGGTGCGGTTTATACACGGTACACCAATTTTTTTTTTTTTTTTTTTTTTTTTTTAAAGTTTCGATTTATGCCCCTCTACCTGGCGCTATGCCTGGCAATGTCTCCCAGCTCAGTAATCAGTGTGTTGACTCACCACTTGGAAACTAGAACAACACTCAAATTTGTCTGTCATCTTGGTTTGAAAGTAATCTTTCAGATAGATTTCAATATGTAGTTTATTATAATAATTCCTCCAATTTTTCTTCTATTACACGGCATACCACAAGGTTCTATCCTAGGTCCTCTACTGTTTTTTAAGTTGGCAAAAAAAAAGTCAGCAATTTTTTAAAATTTTTTAAAATTTTAAAAATTTTTATGGCGAAAAAGAGGGGTGCGGTTAATACACGAGGGCGGTTTATACAATATTGGTAATACCGGTATTGAGATACACTTCCAGAGAAAATTGTATTTCCCACACCTATTGTATGTGTGGCTAACACAGGAGTGAATTCAAAAGTGATATTAAAGTAAATGTGTACATTTTATCAAAATTTGAACGAGCTAGCATGCCTCTGTTTGCTCTGCCTTTTCATATCAAATACAATTTTAAAGAGCATTATATTTTAAATGATGGTATGATGTTATTTGGTGGTGGTGGTTATTTTACCTGACTGCTAAGAAAGCACAAATGCTTGTAAGTAAGCAACCAGACGGCCGACGGCTTTAGGTCCTCTCCGAGGGACCTGGTAATGAGGATTAATGCCTTACCAAAGGGCACTAGCACATCGCCTTGGTTTCGAACCCGGGTCACTGGATTACGAGACCACTGCTCTACCCACTCAGCTATCGCGCCTCTTGATGTATATCATGTGATATTGAATTTTGCTTCATTCAAATTTATGTATTATCTTGAAATAATGATGAATCATGGTTAGGGAAAAAAAACACCTCTGACATAAATTTGATTGATTTTGTGGTTCTATGTTTTGGATCTTACTGGAAAGCTGCACATGCCTGTGTAGTCTAGGTTAATTAGAATTTGATTGTCATTTGAGTGCCATGTTTATAGATCAGAATATAATTTATTTATAGACATTATAGACTTTACATGTACATGTACATGCATATCCTTTGGACTGCATTCTCATGTTTCTAATTACTGAATGACGCCTCTACCCAGTAGAGCTTAAAACCAGAAGAAGAGAAAGAGAGAGAGAGACGGAGAGTAAGATCTAGAGAGAGAGAAAGGATGGGGGGGGGGGGGAGGGGGTCGGAAGTACCAACATTTGCTGACAATCGTGCAAACCAATGTAAATATAGGGTGTCAAGAACAAATTTGTGAACAGTTTTGTTCACAAATATTGACTAGTAAAGAGAACTTCCCGCCTCAATCAGCACCCTCACAACATCACAATTTTTTTGGCTTATTGTGTCAACATTAATTGGAGTGTCCCTCTCTATTATTTAGCCTACAGTATGTGTAGGTCTTAATACACCCTATCTTATCAAAAGACAGGTGGTTCTTAGTGAATATTCAAAGACTATTTTTCATACTCACAGTTTGTACCTTCAAGGCATATTTTATAATATAATATGTAGAAAAATATGATACCAATACCCACCTGGGCAATTTCTGTGCAATTTGTCCCATACGACATATGAAATTTATCCATCTATTTCATCCGAAAATGAAAATATCCCGATATGACCAATGCTCAATGGCTATTTCTGGTATTATTAATGTTAATAAAGGGTCATGTCAAGATCTTTTTTCATTTTTGGATGAAATAAGTGGAGAAAGAAATGTCGTACATATTGCAAGGTATCAGGTATTTTTTTGGAATCTAATTGAGCTGATATTGTCTGATTGTCATAAGGTCACATTTCAAGAGGTATTTGGGAAGCATTCCAAATTTCAAATGCATATCATTTTGTCCCGTTGTGAGGAGGGAGACAAATGTGCGAAGTGGAACCCTAATTTTGCTCATGTTGATGGGAAATATACATTGTACATTATTTTTCTAAATGTTACCAACTTCAATTACCCCAAAATTGTCTTGTAGTTCAGATACAAGGCCTACAGCATTTTGCATTGTAGAAGAACAAGATCATTCCATATTCATGTCATTGGAAGCGCTTTCTTAGTACACTCCACAGCCTTTATCTACATGCAGCCTATCTGCAAAGTTTTATTGAGTGGGTTACCCAATAGGTACTTGTATGTAATCCTATCTTGTTTTATGATTGAATTACACTCAGTGTTTGTGTATCTAAGCAGACCTGGGACTCAAATAGAACTGACCCTATTTTGATGATGTGAACTTGAACTCCTGAACATCCCAATGGTCTCATTTTCAAAGAGCTCTAGTACATGGAAGTTGTTTGTCTCAATTTCTAATAAGCCAATATATTCTTTCCAGTTGTGTACTTAACCTAAGGAAGGGCACAATGTTGTGCAGTTGAATGTACATTTCCAATTTTTCATGAAATCTGCACTGAATAAAGGTGATATTATCTACTCTTTAATTAAAACTACACATGAAATGTACATGTATTGCATACTGTAAGTTGCTGCTCTGAATTCAGCTGTTTTACATACAATTATGTTAATGAATAAATGAAAAATCTTGTCTATCAAATTAATTCAAGGTTTATTAAGATGTGAGAAATTGTAGCATCTAGGAATGTACATGTATGTATATCAAGAAATTCAAGTTTGAATTGAAGTTTTGTTTTATACTCAATAAAAAAAATAACATTAAAACATATACAGTCATATAATTGCAGATAAAATACATCACTATACAGAATGTAGATTCCAGAGAAAGGTGAAATGGAAATGTGGGCTTTGATGCAGAACCCCAACGGAACCCCAACAGAAGCAAAGAACATAAGAAATGCTTTATGAAACATTGTTTGCTGTTTATATTTATTTCTATGCAGCATGCGTCTGAATTGGAAAAGAAGCAGAACGAATCTGAGAGAAAGAAACTCCTTGGCAGTGTGATCCAGTATGGCAGTGTCATTCAGGTAAGAAAGGAAGGGAGATGAAGAGAGAGGAGGAGAGCAGAGAGAGAAAGAGAGGGAGAGGGAGAGTACAGGTATGAAAGAGAGAGGGAGAGAGAGTATGAGAGAGAGAGAGTGAATAAGACAAAAGAAAGACTGAGTATATTATTTCAAAATTTGAAAGAACTAAGAATGAAACAAGGGAGAAAAATCGAGATATCTTGAATATACATTCTTTATTCTGAACTTTAGAAAATAGTAAATAAAGAGTTCGTAGAGAGAAGGGGGAGATGTTATAGTGGAAGAGGGAATCGAAAAGAGAAATGAAACTGGTGAAAAATGACAAGAAAGAAATGGAAGTACTTGTAGATGAAGAAATTTGTTCTCCCATAGAACGCTCTGTGTGAATTGCACCCAACGTGTGACCCTTTTTTTCATAATTATGATCTGTTATGCTGTTACTGTGGAGCAGAAACACTTGCAATTACGTACGTTAAGTTGAACTTAATTATGTATACCACGATTATACTGTAATCATATTAATCTTTCACATGCAAGGTCAAATTAATTATTCAAGAATATCATATTGTATTACTGGTGATAGGTTCATTGTTCCCAATTAACTTTTGATATGTGTATTATATTTATTCAATTGTTAATTATGGATGATTATTCTATATGTGAGAAAGCAGTTTACAGGATATGGGCTAGGGCGTGTAATAGACTGTCATCTGCTACAGTGTATGTTAATTCTTAAATCAGATCGGAACTGCAACAGCTCAGTACCGTGATTCAAGATTTTGTAGAATGACAATTTTACAAACCCCGACCACACAAGAATTTTACAAACCCTGACCACACAAGAAAGAATTTAAGCAAACATATTATGGATACTTTACGGTTCTGGTTTTACAGTATATATATATTGGGTATATATTTTAACAGTATGTATACTATATATCCCTAATGATGAATATGATAATGTAAATGAGATTGCTCTGAAATATCTTTTTTCTTTGTAAACCAACCCCTTCAGACACAGCTTCTCTTCAAACTTTTTCTACCAATAAATGATTTGTATTTTTAAATTTTTTTAATAGAAGATGATTTGTGTTATTTCATTGAACAGTTACTCCATTTAAAGAGCAATAAGTTCCTGACAGTCAACAAACGTTTGCCAGCTCTCCTGGAGAAGAATGCAATGAGGGTGACTCTTGACGCCAACGGTAACGAGGGATCATGGCTGTACATTGTGCCTTTCTACAAGCTCAGATCACAGGGAGACAATGTAAGTGGTTTTATATTCCTTTGGTGTAGCACTTGACCAGTTGTATGTATGGGTATGCAAGGATGAACTGACTAGATTTTGGGTGAGAAAGGGCAAAGGTCAAAGGTCTCAGGGTCATAAATGTGTTTAAAAATACCAGAAAATAAATCGTTACCGATATATATCCAGAACCATTGAACAGATTTTTACCAAACTTGGATGGTATGTGTATGAGAATCTAAGGATGAACTAAATGTATTTTGGGTAGCAGATGTCAAAGGGCAAAGGTCACAGGGTCATGAAAGTGTTTTAAAATACCAGAAAAATTACTGCAGTGACTTGCAAATTATTGAAGCAATTAAAACTTGGATGAAGTATTCATTCATTCTTTTGAAATTTCACAGTGCTTATCGTAATAAGCTTCTGCTGAAATTTGTGGATGTGAGAATTGCACAGAGGGCAGAGGCATAATTGTTGACTGCGCGCTGACAAATAGATGAAAATTACTTATGGTATTGCATTATAATGTCTCTGTTGAAATTGATTATAAAAAGCATTTAATTCATGTTAGATTTCGTTTTCCTCTCTGGCCTTTTTATGTTGTCCTTACTGATTTCCTATCATCCTTGTGCCTGTCTCTCTTCCTCTCTCTCTCTCTCTCTCTCTCTCTCTCTCTCTCTCACACACACACACAGCAATGTTTTCTATCATTCTTCCTGTCGGCTATAATCACCTTCCTTTGTGTTTTATCATCCATAGGTTGTGGTTGGTGACAAGGTAGTCTTGAATCCAGTCAACGCAGGGCAGCCTCTACATGCAAGCAACTATGACCTGGTGGATAATGCAGGCTGCAAAGAGGTAAGGGAGCTGGTCAGAAGACTAATATTCTATAATTAGGGCTTTGCAAACTATACTTCCTTCAGTAGTCTTCATTCATTACATATACATTATATGTATGTGTGAATGTCTTCATGTACTCTATATGCTTCAGTTTCATTCCTAGAAGTCGCTCTGTATCTGAGATGGATATGTCATCTTAGTATGTATCGCTCTGTATGTAATTTCAGATTCTTGGAGATTTCCACCATCGGATAGAGTCACCATCGGATCGACAGAGTACTCTGTAATTTTATGCTTCATATTTATTAGTGGCTTCAAGTATAATTGATTTCCTCGTTGGAGAAGCATGTATCTTTTTTGGAACAAGACTTTAAAAAAAAAAATCATATAAAATGATCCTATTCAAAAATTGTGAAAGAAACGGTGTGGAATCGATCAATAAAGGTTGATCCTCTAGCATATAAGTATTGGTGTGTATTGCAAGGTTTTGGAATCATCAAAATGATAAGAAATTTGGCCCAGTCTTGGTAAATTTACAAGCATTGTACTGTATATGGGACTACACGAACATGTGGCATGAACATCCGTCCCAAATTTGTATGCTGTTACATACCATATTTGGAATATTAAGTCATATGAAGAGCTATGCTTTTCAGGGAACATTTTTTTTTTCACTGATGTTCTTCCACACTTGCATACAATAACAATGATAATGCTCACAAATTATTTTTCCCAGAACTCAATCTTCTCTTTAACTTATGGAACTGCACTTTTACCATAAGATGTGCAATTGAATCCACTGGAGAGAGATCTGATTTTGATTACAAAATTAAAAGAAGACAAAAGATTGTGTTGATTACAACCTTGTAATTTTAATTATTTTTGCTTCTCACTTGCGTATTAAGTGCTATTTGCTCTTGATATACACGGTAGTAGACTGCCTAAGGCAAACCTCCATGCTGCAGAAATTAAAAAGGGCATACCTGGAAATCTGTTTCTTAAAACACATAGATCACAAGTACCCTTAGAGATCTTGGTTGCGTGCAGCAATATTTTTTCCAACATGTGATGAATTCATAACAGTTGTTATTTATTTATTTTTTTATTTTTTTACTTGATTTGGGTTTTGAGGTGGTCTACCACATTTTTTATAAATTTAGGCTTTACTTGATATTTTGTTGTTGTTGTGGCATTCTGATTTCAGTAAATACTATTTCCAACCAACCTGAAGAATCTCTTCATTCTTCAACCAACAGACTGAAGAAAGATTTAGGAATATCTTGCCTTCTATTGTCTGCATATAAAATCTAAGCACTCTATTGAATGAATGAATGTGGGATACCAACAAATATCATTCAAATGCTCTTGCAATGAATTTAGTTAAAGTGATATTATACAAATTATGAGATTTGCCATATCCTTTCAACATGCAACAGTTTAAGTAGAACATGCTTATTGTATAGAGACGAGCTGTATTCAAGGTGCCACAGAGTCTCCACTTCAAAGGAGTACTCAGCATTTATTCAAGATTTTAATGGAGGAGAAAATGTGAAGTGTCCATATGTAAAGTATAAGTAGTATTCAGAGGGGTAGTCATTAAGTATATAATCATAAAGGAAAAGATTTTGATGAGAGAAAATGTGAAATGTGTTGTTTACAAAGTAGGATTCTAAAGTAGATCATCTTGTGTAGAAAATTGAACGTAGAAATGGTTGATGTAGAAACCAATGCGGTCACAGACAATGACCAAAGTCACAAAAATAAAGTCATATATACAAAAAGAATGTCATGAATATAGAAAATAATACTCATCAAAAGAAGAGATGTTCTAGAGGTCTATAGAAGTTAAGGAAAATCTAGTTCATTTACTCCCTTGACTCCTCAATTGAACACCTGAATTAACCCCTTGATTACTGAATTCTCCTATAACACTGTATTCCCATAGGCAGCGAGTTAATACTTAAAGGTAAAGACCAGTATTGGAAACGCCCCAATTTCAAAAAATGCAATGGAAGCTCTCATTACCAATCATGTTAAAGAATATGTTTTGACTAATACATGATGATTATAAAATTTGCCGGGAAACCGCCGACTAATTCATATATTTGGTAAATTTGTTTCTCTCATGGTCTGTGAGAGATATAGGGTAGTCCCATATACATCTTTCTGTGTATAGTGCTTGTAACTTTGCGAAGAATGGGCCAAATTTCTTATCATTTTGATGATTCCAGAACCTTACAGATGCTAGATGCTAGATGATCAACCTTTTATGATCGATTCCACAACGTTTCTTTCACAATGCAATCGCATGACCATAACTGTTCTTTACCTTTAATAACAGTTTGAATAGCACTTGGAAACGTCCCCAATGCCTTGCCCACACACAACCTACTCCTTGCCAAGAAAGGAGGCAAGTGGGTATTGATTTGTCAATTAGCGATGATACATGTAAACGGACCGCCTAAATCAAGCCCCAAAATGGGAATACTAATGATAAATCTCCTCCCAACACACCATTGTCAACAAACTACATATGTAGATTCACATTGTTTTTGATGGGAAACGCCTCGGGTTTGATGATCCTTTGTATTGAAAATTCAAGCATTAATCAACAAATATCTATCATAACAAACCATGACAAGGAATAGGCTGCATTTATGACATACAAACCCCTTCATGGCAAGGATTTAAATCAGCTTAGGGACTGACCATCTTTTTAACACCTACGCATCATGTCTCTAATGGTACATTAATGTAAATTAGGACTGCTAATTGTCATAGACTCACCATTAGTTAAACAAGCCAGCTGTGTCTTTATAACGTCATGTTTTCTTTGCCAGCAAACTCTTTAAACTAAGATTCCAATCTTTGGATTTGAGATTCATAAGACTGAGCAAAATTGTTAGGAACATCAAAACATTTGTCACTTGTGGAAATACATGTATGAACTTGTATAATATTGGAAATAAAGATATGATATTTGATAAAATCTCACCCTGGTTTTGGCTGGAAAGATTGCAATGAAATGTTTGATACGATGAGTTTGTTGAACAAGATGAAGATCAATTTAGCCCTAGCATTTTTGCAAAGCATTGATGCAAGCACCATATCTACAATCATTGTAGACAAGATTATTTTAAAGACTCAAATTAATAAATCTTTCTTTTAGCTCTTTTGAATTTGGCAATACTGATATTTTATCAGTAACCAATGTTCTAAACATCAAACAAAATATGAAGTGTTAAAGTTAGAATTAATATGGCCCGATAATCTGATAATTGTTATCAAGAGAATCAGCGATTCTGTATTTCCATAGTAACTACATAAACATGAATTTTCCTTTTTACATTTCAAACCATTACAAAAAAAGAGAAAAACTATGATAATAATATTTATGATTAAAAAAATACTACTGGCAATTCAAATTTTGCCTTTCATGTCTACCTGTGCAATCTTCAAGTTCTAAATAGAAATGCCATAGTTCATTTTAAAATACTAAAAGCTGAGATAACTCAGGTAGATGATATATTTGGGAAATGTGTGTTATACCATGATGACATTGTATTCAACATCAAACACTGTTATTTTAGTTTTGTTATAGAAGATAGAGATGTCTGTTTCTAGATCAAACCAAGATTCATTGAATTGGTATTCAGTGAGTTAACCATAGATGACTGTATGCCTAAGGGACACGATGGGGAGGGGGCGTATCAAGAACTGCCATTACGAGAAGCTCCCTCGTGCTTTCTACCCAGCTTGATGAGATAATTAAGACCTTCTAGACTACTATAGGCTCGTTCAGACATAAGGTGACACCGATGGCTCGTAACAAAAACTTGGAACAGCAAAGCATAGTGATATTAAACAGTAGTATATAAGAGAGTACATCTTGAGACCATTGCTGTTTGCTGATATACTGTTTGTTTCTTATTTTAATCTCCAATTTTGCCTTTTGCCATAAAAATTATGTTGTGCTGTAGTATATACTTTCTTTAAAGGTAGCTAACGTGCCTTGTCTGAATGACAGAGCTACATGAAGGCTCTGCTCAACACCTTTATGGAAATTGAGTTTTGTGCCAAAACTGTGCCTGCAGACTACATTGCACTTGTAGCTCATATGATGAACTCACTAACACCCACTTCCATTATCAAAAATCTGAAGTAATTTTTTTTCCCACCGATGGTATGTTTTTGATGCACTTTTCTGATCTTATCCTGAGAAATTTGCATTAATATCTTGTCTGCTGAGAGCCAGAAGCCTTTTTGCTTTCAGAAGGACATTGACTTTAACTTTAATACATAGTTAATGGCTCTCAACAGAGATGCAATCACTATGAATATGACTGACAAAGAAAGCGGACAAAATATACAGTTCCTCAGGTAGACAAAGGAACATTCCTTCACTGCTATTATGTAAAAATGTGTGGAACAGGTGTCACATGCATATTCACCTTTTTACATAATAGCAGTGAAGGGATGTTCGTTTGTCTACCTGAGGAACTGTATATTTTGTCCGCTTTCTTTGTCCATCATATTCATAGTGAATGCAGTGCAACTCACTTTCATAATGACACCATCATGTTTTGTAATGCCTTTCAAATATGAATTTTTGAAATGAAAATTTGCTACTTCCAAGAAAATCATGCATATCAAGAAGACAAAGGATTTCATTACAAAAAGCAGTAAACAGAAACATGCAAGCATTACACAAGACCATACGCTTTGAAACTGGATAATCCTCTAGACGGATGGGAATTAAGCCTCTGGGATTGATGTCTTGTAGATGAAGAAGGGTGCATGTAGATGCATGCATTAGCTTCATGCAATAGAACCATCCTTTGTTCTATAACCACTAGGATTAATTTAGTTAATTGAGAGCGGCATTCATGGCCAGAGGGTTGTATTTAATTAGATAGTGTTATTCCCCAGCACGTGTATCTCATAGGAGTTGAACACGACAAAAGCTATGTTTAAAGGCCCACTACACTACTTGTAGCTACTTGCGCCCTCTATATAAC